TAGTTTTCAGTCGAACTCCTGATCCCAGTCGTTAGGTCCCTTAACAAGAGTAGTCTAAGCTTTATTCTATATTTTAAAGTTGATATATAGAACTTAGACTTAGATGAACCTCAAGCTAGAACTATGTTAACTCAGGTTTCCAAGGATCTCTCATCTCAAGGTGAGCTAGCTTTCAATATATCAACACTTATACTTAAAGCTAGTTTGAATTGATATTTAATAATTTCAAGTTAAGATTTAAGTTAAGATCAAAGCCAGACTGTTCAAAAAAGTCAAAGCTTTGATATAGAAAATAAGTTTTTTTTGACTCTACTTATGTGTATAACTAACATATATATATACTGAAACACTGCCAATAATTCTGTAAGATTTTATATATAATCTATATAAAGTTTTAACTAAAATATTGTAGAGCTTTGAGAACTTTAACAGTTCTGCTCCTAGTGATTCAGACTCAGATAGCCCTGAGGAAAGCTCTGAAGATACTGCAGGACTTTTAGACTTTCCTGATTTTACTGTAGATGCTACTACTGATCAAAGCTTGGAAGAATCAGAGAGCAGTAAATTTGAAGATCAGCAAACTGAAACTACTCCTCTTACTACTTCCATTATTATTCAGTATCCATAGTCTAGAAGAGACCTTCAAATCAAAGTTCTAGATGGCTATTCTCTATCTCATTTTCCATAATCAGATATTTCTAGTAAATCCAGAATACTTACAAAATCAGAATTGCTTTCTTTAGAGCATTATATAGCTTGGGCTCAGAATAATAGCACAGTCAAAGTATATAATGCACATGCAGCAGTTATGCAGAAAGCATTCAGGTATATAAACAAGCTTTTTGAAAATAATTTCTAAGATATTTTATCAGGTGTAGACATTCTATTATTATATTCAGCCAGAAAATTCACTGTTGAAATTACTGGAGTAACACCTGTGAAGATTGATATGTGTTCTCAAAGTTGCTTGGCCTATACAGGTGCTTTTCTATTTCTAATAATCTACAAATATACTTACATCTTTTATTAGATACTCATGTTGATAAGAAAACTTGACCTTATGTTAAGGATGGCAAGATATGTAGTGAACCACACTATTGCAATAACAAGCCCAAGGCTCAAATGCTATATCTCCCATTTGTACCTATGATTAAGGGTTTATTTGAAAATAGTAATATATCAAGACTGCTCAGGTAAGCTAATCATTATTATCAAACTTGAGCTAATATTAAAATATCTAGATATTGAGACAAATTGCTGCAATCAGCCCTAAAGCTTGTTCATTAAATGAGAAACCCTGTTATATCACTGGCACAGTACATAACAAGTCTTTCAGTAAAAAGTCACATGACAAGGTGACTTAGTAGTTCAGAGGAATTAGCTAGGCTTTCAGGAGGCCTAGTGGTTGATGTGCCCTAGTGTCAAGTAGATAAGTAGAGAGTCAAGACAGCACTTAAGGGTCAGCATGGTAAGCCAGGGACTTGTGGTGAAACATACAGTACTGTACATATCACCTTCATCTCTATTTCACTTATATATATCTATCATCACTCCCATCACTGGTTCATCTCAATTACCAGTCTTTGTCAAAGAGTCAGCAATTGCAGTGGATGAAATTGAGGAGTGGCCAAGATATCAACATGGACATGAGCAAATAGATGGAACAGGCAGTATATATGGATGTGTTGAGGATGACCTGATTGAAGATACAGAATTTTTAGAGATCAGTAGGCCTTTCAGAGATGATGACAAAAGCAAGTGGCATAAATTATCAAATAGTAATTGGTCATATTGATGCTGTTTTAGGATGAGATAGATGCAAGTAGGTGAACTAAACCAACCTGGATGCATTTACAATCTTCTGCACCCCAATAATATGTTACAGCTGTCTATGCTTCCTTAGTACTCTACACATCCCCTATCCCTTCAATTATTTCTATAACCAGCTATGAGGAAATTCCAAAGATTCTCTAATGCCTATACTTCTAAGGCTTTAGCCAACTTCAGCATGGCAGTGTCAATGTGCAGGAGTATTACATTAGGAAAATACAGCTAGTAATTCTTTACATTGTGCTAATAGGAATGGCTAAATAGCTGCCAATTAGCAGTTGCACTACAGGCAGCTCCACCCTGGTTTGCCAATGCTATGGCAGCTAGTCTGGAACCAATAGGAAATAACATAGCTACTCTCGAGGCTGATATGACTCCTGTCAAGGCTGACATAGCTATTCTTAAGACCAACATAACTACTGTCAAGGCTGACATAGCTATCCTCAAGACCAACATAACTACTGTCAAGGCTGACATAGCTACCCTCAAGACCAGCATGACTCAGCTAGTGGGGATCAACATTAGGTTCATCTGAGTATATAGTAGGGGATGAAAGTATTGCAATATTTGCAACAGTTGTGTTGCTAGACCTATTTCTAATGAACCAGGGTCAATGACGAATAGTTAGGAAAAGAAAAAGAACCCCCCCCCTGAAGCTGTAACAACTGGTGCATCCTAAGTCTATGATGCTTAAGTTCTGTAGGACTTATACTGAGAGGTTTGTCTGACTTGGTTGAGCTTCCTTAGCTAAGGAAGTTTGAGAGCACAAACTGACTGAAGCAAGTGATAGACAACTGGGTCTATATTGTAGAGGTGTCCCTATGAAATGTGTGTAGGGAACAAGAGGAAAAAACTAAGGTACAATGATACAGTAGCTACATCTTAAATATAAAGAGATATTAGAAATATCATAGGGTGCTGTTGATGTAAAATGATACATCAGTCCTGGAGTTGAATCAAGAAATGATAGATGGGATGATGGAAGTAAAACACTCAGATAAATTAGTGATGAGCAACAATAGTTAGATATGAGAGAGACACATAGAATGCATCAGGAAAATATCAACCAGAAATAGATTGTACAGGGTCTAGAGTAGATGAGCAAGAAAAAAATAAAAATCCCCCTTCACAATGCTGTAACAATGCCCATGTTATCACCTCCTCATCTATCACCTTGCCCCTTGCAGTATTAATGATGACCATACCCCTCTTTAACTTCTATATAATCTTCTTGTCTACCATCCTGGCTGTGTACTTGTTGAGTGGTATGTGAATGCTGAGTGCATCTGCCTGAGCTAGCATCTCATCAAGATGGTCAGTATCATAATACTCACACCACTTCAGCACACACATGACTCTACAATGGCTGTGATTGAGGATATACATGGGGAATGCCCACATGAACTTGGTAAAGCACAGCTCAATCTCACCCAGCCTGAGAACTATAACTATCTTCCTGGTGAGGTCATGCATGTGTATGGCCAAGTGCTGCAACCCCAATAGATCCATATTAGATGTCCCAAATGTCCAACACATCCTCTGCCTCTCACGCATCGCGTGCTGCTAGTGTTATGGCCATAGTATCAAATACAATCCCCCCCGAGCACTGACTCCCAGTGCTATTTATGCCCACCTTTCCTCTACTGGAATGGATAGACAAGCTGTTAATCAACTACATCGAGAGCATCCGGTATTACATCCATGATACGACCCTGGATGGCCAGCTAACGCTGATCTCCTATTCTAACAATGCCACTAACAACCAGGAAGAGTTTATGTGCTTTCTCCCCACGCTATACATCAGCCACTTTGAGCACAAGGATTAGAGGCTGAGGGCCATGCTACACCTCTATCAACAAGGTAATGGGCTCCTTGAACTCCCAGTCACCCTGAGCAAGAAGCTCGGTGAGATTATCGTATACTACTGGAACATCTTCAACAGGCTCTTTGATGGATGCCAACTAGCGAGACCTAGTCCCTACTGGAGGAGTGATATTTGGGAGCTCTTCCTCATGGATGAGTATCGTTTGTTACAGTCTTGTAAGGGGGGGTTTTCTTTTCTTTCCTAACTATTTGTT